GTGTTTTTTTTTTTTCTAATTTAAATCGTAAAGAAGAATAATTATGCTCTTGTAAAACAACAAGTGAAGAAACTGATCTTAAGTGGAGCGGATAAACTTTAAAATAATTAGTATGTTGTGATAATCAGAACTGGAAGATTTGATGTCGCTGTACGAGTTTTAAACTAGAACAACACGCGTAGAAATCGACAGGTTCATTAGTTTCTGATGTATCAGTCCAAGGCGTAAAATCATGATTATTTCGCCGAAATATGACAGTCATGCGTGATCAAATTTTTTGTCACGATCGAGATATGATATTTCTCGGAGCTAATGGGACGCGAATATTCGTTAAATTCCGATCTCAAAATGAAACGCTTTCTAAAACTCGTTATTATCGACAAAACCCACCAACGAACTAGATTCGGAACTTCATCGTTGTTTTAACATTGGCGATGCTCGTAGCAGTTTTGATTATATCATGAAAGGCCAGATTACTAGCAACTTCGTTAGCAGCTTGTTATTGTTACATGGAACACTTAACGTCCAATTTCGAGAACGTGTACTTCACAAACTATTTGGACCTACTCTTCCTTTTTTTTTTTTCAATTTATTTTCGAGTGCTAAATCAAACTCGATATTTTTTTACCCCAATCAAATATCGTTTCTCATGATATACATTTTCACACATTTTTAATTTATTGTAATTTTATCGCACCGAGACTCATTTTGTTTACATTCAATTAAGGTTATGGGAAAGTAAATTTATGCAATTATTTTCGTATTTTTTTAAATTAAATGGCGTTATTACGTAGCTACGGCTGTCCTGGGAATGAGAGGATTAACTCAGTAATTGAAGACAAGCTTGCGCCGCGAAAATACGTACCGTGCTCCGACGACGACCTGCTGTCGCGCCACGTCGAAAAGCAGCTGAGAATAAGTCGTGACTCCCTCTTGTCGAAACATGCTGGTGTCTGCTAAATCTGCAACACATAACGAGACACAAATTATCTAAATGAGTTCGAGGGTTTGTTAGGAATGATAGAAAGTCCCTGTTAGAGATACATACATTCAATTTTACTTCGATGCATAAAAGTGTCAAATTTTTCAATATTAAAACCGCTAATAACGTATTCTATTTCCTCCAGTCTTTCTTTCAGATAAAATCTATCTAGAAAATTGATGGCGATAGGGGATAGAAATTATGAACTACAATAGTATTTATGTAGCCTACCGTAGCGCCTTTCGATCCTCAACCTGGGAGGTGAGAACCGGTATGCGGCAGGTGCGAAAAGTCGGCATGGAGGTGTCATAATTACCGAATCGAGCGTGTCGAAAGCGGCGCTTTCTTTCGCCTCTCATGTATTTATCGGTAGCAACTCGTAATTCAACCTAGGCCAGCACGATCTAGACATGGGCGCCGCCGGAATTTTTCTCAGAAGACCCTCTAGGCATCAGCGAGAATCGGTGTTGTTCACGATATGCCAAATCGACGGTACAAATTGTCAATAATTAGATAGTTCGAGAAATCACGTGATGGCAACAATCGTTCACTGTCTTACTTCGGAAAGTAATTATTTAATTACTGTATTATTTTACTTGTGGATATCTTCGTAAAAAATTCTCAATTTCTTTTTGTTAATTGGTATCAAAATATATACCGCGATAATCTTACTCAACATAATAATTTAGGTACAAAATAACTGTTTAGTGTTATGTTACTCCAAAATAGAAGTCGTTGGAATGAATGGATGTATCGTTCTTTTCGCGATTATATTCCGACTACAATAGCAGAACTAATGAATGCTCGTTTGAAAACGGGATAATAGCGGGTGTGTATTTAAAAAAAAAAAAAATTCCGAACATTTTTGTCAAGCACAAGAGAAATCCTTGAAACGGGGACCACCCTGCGCGACGATAACTGGTAATTCGTAAAGATTTACCGCGATTCCCCTTTATGTTTTTTCGTTTGGTGTCGTGCGAGACGAGTGGGGAAAAGGCGATTTTACGTCCCGCGATGTCACGCCATAATATTCTATACACGCCTCACGTATACATATACACATTCAGTACGACCCATTATCGAGGCATAACGATCGATTTACAAGACTGTCTCGTAAAGCAAGCTTCGATCTTCATGGAGAAAAGAGCCGGAGAAAAGAGAGGCAAAGGGCAAGGCAAAAATATGGAGAATGCTGAGAGAAGGAAAGGCCGCGAAGAACATACCGGGCGTTCTTCCTTTGCTTAACGATCCCAAAGGATTCTATCTCTTGCCTACAGTTTGCTTCCTTGCTTTCTCAGCGTCTCCATATCTGCTCGCGCTCTCTCTTTAGTTCTCTGCTCACGTTATTTTCGCTCATGCTAGCCACGCCTTACGCATTTATCTTTACTAGACAATTTTATAATCCGCTTTTTGAGATAGGTGTGTGCGAGTAATATGGAATGCGATAGACTTCATGGGAGCACCATAGCACTACCGGAGATTTTTTGGAGTCTCTTAGATCGGGTCGTTCATCAATGTTATTTCTTTTGAGAAACTTTTTTTTCATTAACGAAAACAAATTGACGTTCCATTCCTTATTAGTGAAGACTTGAAAAGAGAGTTTGACGTGAGTTTGAAGTGTATCGATATCTTAATTTAAAAACAATTACCGATATTACCGCTACATTATTCGAAACGTCATAATTTTGCGTTTTTGTTCATTCATTCAATTCCGTTAAGCGAAGCGATTCCAGTTCGTGTTCTAGTCCATTTTGCATGTGACGAGTGTTTGAGAGATATCAATCGCATGATGATTTACGCATCATTTATGACGAGCATCCGCCGCCTTCAGAATCCTTCAGAAGCAACTTCCACGCGGCCGGCTGGCTGGACGCAGGTAGCGTACAGTCCGCTTTATCAATTTTCCGTCGCCGCGCTGGCGGGGATAATACGCTCCAGGACGAAATTGCATCGTTGGGAGGACGGAGCGTGATCGTGCTGTGCCGCGCTTCATCTTGTACCTACCTCTCGAAGATATACCGCATACACTATACCTTAAAGTGATCCCGCGTACGTCCCGCCACGCTACCGCGGATGCGGACCACCGGGCCGGCTATGTTAATACGGATAATTGCGTTACGCGAAACCCCCTCTTTCCTGCCCCCCCCCCTTTCCTGCCGCCGCGATCGAGCACCACGTGTGCGGGCAGGGGCGCAATTTCGTCATATCTTAATACACAGTTTCGCGCGACAACAGCAGAGTAAAACTATCGCTACATTTAATTATTAAGTATCGCATGAATAAAACACGATTTGAGAGCGATAATGTAAAATCAGACGTAAAATTATTATCTACCGCTCGTATATGTTGAAAATAGAAAATATTTCCCTCGAGGGAATAATTCTCGTTCTTTACATTTGTAAAATTTGTCGTGCTGTATATCAAAGTTTATATATAATTTAAAAATCATATATTTGACATGGTCACAATTATAAAAAGCAAGAAAAGCAGAATGTTAGTTTTGTATTTACTGAATGCTTATATTTATTTAAATCCTTCACATCAGGCAATGAAAGCAAAAGACACGAAAGAACGAGCTTTGTTAATAATGATAAAACGAAATATGAAAGAGACCAGAGAGTACGTGATCAACGCACATTTGGTCGACTTGGGACTTCATAATAGCTATAAGAGATCTAAGATACATTCTGCTCCTTCTGTTTGAATAATAATTAAAACTTACGCGGCGCTAATGAAGGTTGTAAAAACTAATTGCGTCCGTCGCCACGCCTTATACGATTATTCACTTAATTCTGCCTCCGGAACGGGCGGATATAAACACATCGGTCGGTCAATAACGCTTCGTGCGCTCGTAGAGCACGTGCTGCTTCGAGAAAACCAAGGCGCCAATCCCGAGATTCGCGCGAGATTTCGATCTCCGATGACTGGGAGATTACTGTGAAAAATACAAGTTACCATAAAGCGGCAGGATTGCGGCGATAAATCGGCGGTGGATCTGATAAGGTTTCTCCAAGGATCATCATAAGAGATGCGTGCCCGCACGCACACGCGCACGCACTCGCGCTCGACGAGGTGAACGACGTCGTCGTTCGTGCGGCGGGAGTAGGAGCGCAATGGAGAGCCTTTGCGCACAGCCTCGGCCAAGCGTGCTCGTGCGCGCACGCAATTTCGTGCATGCCTGATGCATCTAATTACTCACTCGGTCAGAGATCAAAGACGAAGTCACGCGCGTATTAACGTACGTTAGCGTACACAGACTTCAAAGGACGTGAGGTAATAGCGTTCCCCGGGAACGCTTGTCGAACGAGATGCTACCACGCTCTCTTTCAATTTCACGGATTTTCCCATGGTCCCTATTCGCCTGTCACCTGTCGATACATTCCGTAACACTTTCCGTAGCACCGTCCAAATAGACTTGTATCTTCCGTTTTTTGTATCCAGTTTTCGAATCCGCACGAGAGACCGATCGGATGGCGATGGAGTTTGGTGGTGGGCTCGGCGAGAGGCTTGAACAATTTGGAAAATGGAGAATATAATTGCTGAAATATCGAGCGAGGAGATTGCGGCGATCGGCGGAATATTAATATTAATTGATCTTTCCGCAGACCTTATCGATACGCGATCTCTTAATTATACTCTCAATCGTTCGCTCGCTCGCTCACTCGTTCGCTCATTTCGCGGCCGTCTGTCCGGCCGTCTAAACCGTTATTTAGCTCCGATACGTAACTTGCGTCAGCGAGCTGACCTTTTTATAAAACGTGATGATGCATAGTCCCGGACAAATCGATTACGCTCGCCGCGTAACGACCCGAGAAGATTAGATAAAGGAAGGGGGCCGTTCGTGAGAGCAACAATGTAAGGCAACGTGTTATTTTTAGCGCTTTGCAATGAAAATAGCGATTATTATTAGCATTCCCTTATCTGTGGAATGTCACATGTTTGCCGTGTCTATTTCTCGAGCTGTCATGAACAATGAAAAGATATTCAGATTAAAGAAACTAGATGGAAGTTTAACCCCAACTACATGCGTTCTTCATCCAGCCAAGCGTAATATAAACATACATTAATAATGTATTTGTTATACAAAGAATAAATGTAATCTATGCATTTATGTATGTTATCTTAATAGGAGACATATGTTTGTTTTTTTTTTCGTTTTTCTTCTTTTTTTCTTTTGAGACACAAGGTGAGGCACAAAAGGCGTCATTGTGATTAATATTAAATGTGCGAGATAAAATCTCGCGCATAAACCGGTATGATTAAAAACGTTCCCTTGCAAATCTCATTAATTTCGACGAATTCTCTTAAATGGGATTACGCATATCGGGATTTCTTGTCTTGTCGTGTCGAAAGACTTAACAAAATTTATGATACCGGCAGGATTAACACACGCCAGTCACACATGGGCCCGCCGAATCCCCTTCTCGAGGGACAATTTGGCCGACGTGGATGGATCGCGTCGCGAAGGATCGTCCCCTAATAAATCTTTTGATTTTAATGAATCTTCTTAAAACGAGATCATGGTCCCCGTCGCGTCAGGGGGGGGGGGGATTTTCTCGAAAATTTATGGAGCCTCGGAGCGTTAATATACACAGTCAGTCGCGCCCCGATCCGCCGAATCTCTCTTTCACGTAGAATAATCTAGACTCAGGTGACGTAGGTAGGTAGATCGTCGCGTCGCGCGAGGAATCATCATCGCGAGCGGGATACGAGCGGGATGCAAGCGCGTTTCCCCATTGTCCAACGTGCGCGATCGTTTAGCCGCACTTGGCCATGGCCACGTGGGTGGCTCGACTTTGTCCCGGCGATAATCCGCGTCGATTTCCCCCTTTAACTCTCCCCCTCCTTCTCCCCCGTCGCAGCTCTCTTTCTTCTCGGATATTCGCGAAATTGCCCTCGACAAATAAGGACGCGTCGATGATCCCGTCTCACCCGCTCTTGCATAATGTGCTTTCGCGCGTGCAACCGTACACTTCGACC